TGGGTCCCTCAGACAAATTTTACTTCATATGCCTAGGGTCCCAGGCAGAGGAAAAATGATTGTCTCCTTGGTTTATCCAGCTCTTCTCATGACCCAGACTTTCTTTGTCATCCATTTCTTAAGAGATTTATTTCTGTCCCCTTTCTTTTCTAAACATAGGAAATGAATCATCTTTGTGCCCTTGCAGTGAGCCATCCCAGTGCCCTTTGATCCCCATCTTAGCCTTTCCCACTGATGCTTGACTCTCTGACCAGTTTCTGTGGTTCTCTCCTCACCCCCCACAGTCACAGATTCCCTTCATTCCAGGAATTGTTCTTGGCACATTCCCTCAACTGTCTTAACGTCACTTAGTCCTAAGTGGAAGAATGGAAGAGATCTCCAGCTCCCGGAATGATAGTCCAGGCTAGTGTCTGACCTCCAGCATAGATCAGATGTGACTCAGATACAAACCGTTAGGCTAAAAATAGTAGCAGCACTTTTTATTTCTCTAACACTGCATGGGTTTCATTCAAACCATTATCCCACAATGATCTCATTTGATTCTCGTGACAACTTGTTAGAGCAGGGACCTTGGCCCTTGTTTTACTGATGAGGAAATTGAAATCCAGAGAAAGTTCAAAGACCAGCCCAAGGTTTCACAGATAGTTAGTCTCTTCCCGGGATGCTGTCTCAGACTGGAAGAATCAAAACCAAGGAAACAAAGACAAGGTCTGGTGCCTTTTGAGTATTCCAGAGAATTCCATCAACGCAGCAGCAAAGATACTGGAGTGGTTTGCCATTTCCTTCTCCAACTCATTTAACAAATGTGGAAACTGACACAAACAAGGTGAAGTGACTTGCCCAGGGTCACAGAGCTAGTAAATGTCTGAGGCCAATTTGAACTCAGGAAGATGAGTCATATTGACTCCAGGCCCAGCACTCTATCCACTGTGCCATGTAGCTGCCCTCTGGAGGAAAATGAGGGCTAGATAAATAGATCTGAGAATCATCTGCATAGAGATGATAATGGAGTCCATGGGAGCTGATAAGATCACCGATTGAAATAGTGTAAAAGGGAGAAGGACCAAGCCTTCTGATACTCCTGAAGCTAATGGGTATGATCCGGATGAAGATATAGCAAAGGATTCTGAGAAGTCACATGGTAAGAGAACTAGGAGGGTGCAGTGTTAGGAAAACCTAGAGAAGAGAGTATCAGGGAGAAGACGTGATGAATACGGCTAAAGGCTGCAGAGACTCAAGAAAGATGAGGACTGAGAAAGGTCATTAGCTTGGCAATTAAGAGATCACTGGTGATATATATATATGTGTATATATATATATATATATATATACTATAACAGAAAAGTCATGTACATGAAACTGGGAGTCTTCATGATGGACAGTTTGTTTTTCTTTTTAATTAATAAATTCTCAACATGTATATTTCGAAGTTGTCTTGCTCGCATATTCGGTTCTCGTCTGTGTATTTTTTTTTAGTGTTTCAATGACCCTCTTTGCTTTCTTTTCTTTTTCTTCCTTTTTTTTTTTTTTGTGCAACTCTATCCCTGGTTCCTCTTTCCCTCTAGCTCCCCTTCCTTCTTTGTATATGGTTATTTGCATGTTGTCTCCCTCATTAGAATGTTAATTCCTTGAGAGCAGAGACTGTCCTTTACTGTTCTTTGTACCCAGCGCACTCAGTACAGTGCCTGGCACATAGTAGGTGCTTATAAATATTTATTAATGGACTGATTGATTACTAAAGCACAAGTCTGACCATATCACCCCAACAGTCAATAAACTCCATATTAATTTATTAATTAAAAAAACTCCATATTTATTTAGTGGCTCCATATCACCTCCAGGATAAAATATAAAATCCCCAAATTTAAAGTCCTTCCTAACTTGGGTCCTTCCTACCTTTCTATTTTTCTTACATCTTTATTCCTTTCCAGATACTCTACAATCTAGGGATACTGGCTTCCTTGCAGTTCCCTGAACAAGATGCTTCATCTCCCAACTCTGGACATTTTCACTCCACTTCTAGAATTCTCTGCCTCCCCACCTCCACCTCTGACTTCTCTGACTTCTTTCAAGTCCCGCTAAAATTCCACCTTCTACAGGAAGGCTTTCCCAACCCTCCTCAATGCTAGCGTTTTTCCTCGGTTGATTATCTCCAGTTTTTCTTGTCTATATTTTATTTGTACATAAATGCTTGCATGTTGTTTTCCTCGCGCCCCCTCCCCTCCATTTAAACTGTGAGTTCCTTGAGAGCTGAGATTGTCTTTTGACTTTCTTTGCATCCCTTGTGCTTGGCACAGGGCCTGACACATAGCAAGCGTTTAATAAATGCTTGTTGACTTGACATGGAAATGCTCATTTTATTTTATGTTTGTTAATTTCAGATTAAAAAAAATAAAAACCCCAAACAAGCAGGGTTGCTGACCCTCACGGTGATCCAAATGAGGAGCGGGAGAGGGTAGAAGGAAAACTAGGAGAGAGAGAAGTGCCAAGAAAACCCAGAGAGGGGAGAGCGTGCGGGAGGAGAGCGGAACCACTGGCGTCGGATGCTGCGAAGAGTCAGTTGAGTGAAGAGTTTAGAAGTTAGGTTATAAGGGGTGGAGAAGTGAAAGGGGAGTGAGAAGAAAGTGGAAGCAAAAAAACGCTTTTTCCAGGAGCTAGGTTATGAACTGGAGGAGGAACTTGGGAGCATGGCTCCAGGGCTTGTATAATAAAGTGAAGGTTTTTAAGAAGGTGACGAGTCTGGGAACTTTGGTTTATTTGTTTATTTTTGAAGTTGAAGAGCTAACTCCCTCGGGCAGCATCCTTGCTTTTAAACAGGTTTTCTGAAAAGAAAATCTTAATGCAAAGGAGGAATGAAAGGGGTTACCGGTACCTGGGCTGGCAGTTGGAGAAGGTTTTTTCGGGTAGAAGAACCCAACAATGCCCCTCAATCACAGAGTCTGTCTGCCTGATCTAAAATCATAAATTGAGCTGCAAGGATCCAACTCCCTGACTCCCTATTCAAGAATGAAGCAAAGAAACTTTCAGTGACTTGCCCAGGGTCACACAGCTAGTAAGTGTATGAAACCAGATCTTTCTGACTTTCAAGTCCAGGACACCACTCACTAAATCACATTGCCATCCCCCTTAGGTATCGCTCTGGATTTGGAAGGTTAGTGATGTGTGGGTAGAACCCCGAACTGGGAGGAAAGCGCTCTAGTCTGATATCTGGGTGCATTTGTAAGAAATAGGGAAGGAGAGATTTTAAATTAGGGAGAAACCCTTCGTTACGGAGCAGGAGGACTGTGGAATACCGCATATTACACATCACAGAGATGGAGTGTGGGATATTCCATACACTGACAGGGTCTAACACAATTGGTTCTTTTTTTTTTTCTCTCTCTTTTTTTTAATAGTTGTTACCAGGGTCAAGTTACTGCCTTTAGGAGGTGGGGAGTAATATATTCAGAAATAAATGTGATGTAAAAACAAAATATGCCAATAAAAACATGGTTAATTAAAAAAAAAAAAGACGGGGGCAACTAGGTGGCGCAGTTGATGAACACCCGCCCTGGAGTCAAGAGGACCTGAGTTCAAATCTGACCTCAGACACACAATATTTCTTAGCTGTGTGATTCTGGTCAAGTCACTTAACCCCAATCGCCACACACACACACACACACACACACACACACACACACACACACAAATTCAGGTGAGAAGGGGAATAATTGAGAAGATAAATTACAGAGGAGACAGGATCACACCTGAAGGGGTTGGTGCCACCTCATCCTCTGAGCCTGCAACAAAGGAGAGAGGAGTCAGATATGATGAAGTGATTTGAGGTGTGGAGAGATGGCTTCAATCTTTTTTAATTGAATTTTGGGACAAAGTTCTTTGCTGTCAAATCACTCAACTTTGCTCAGCCGTAGATTTTTCTCACCCGTCAAGCGAGGGGATTGGAGATCAGCTCTGAAGCCTTCTTCCATTTCCCTAAATCCCATGATCCTTTAGGCTAGGTTAAACATCAAAGGGCTCACGCTACTTACTAGTAGGTAGCTGTCAAGATTTCGGATATATGTGCACACGGGTGCACAGAGCAATAATAGTAATAATACTTTTAGCGTTTCAGAACCCTTTACATAATTATTTCATTTGTCCCTCGCAACATCCCTGTGAGGTCGGTAATAATGCCCTACAACTATTATCTTGTTTTTGCACCCAACGACCCTGGCAGGGGGTGGAGGAGGGGTGCTATTATGATCTCCATTTTACAGAAGGAAACTGAGGCTGAGAGAGGTTAAGTGATCTGTCCAACCAGTCTGAGGTCATATTTGAACTCAGGTCTTGCCAACTCCAGGACCAGTGCTCTATTAACGTTGAGGCAGTGCGGTCCAGTGGAAAGGGCACTACTTCTGAAGTCAGAGGACTTGAGTTCAAATTCTAGTTGGTGTCCTTGTGCAAATCACTTAACTTTCCCGGACCTCAGTTTCCTCAATTGTAAAATTGTTGTTCCAGAGGGCCTCTGAGGTTCTTTCCAGCTCTGGATCCTATTATGACCATTTTACAGATGAGGAAACTGAGATCCGGGAAAAGTAAGCGATTAGTTCAAGATCACACAGCTAGGAAGAGCTGGAGGTGGAATTTGAATGCGGAGGCTCCTCACTCCAGGTTCAACGCTTTTCCCACTGCGCCACGCAACCTCTAATGTCCACTCCTACAAGGACATAAACACAGGTGGGCTCTCCGCACGGCCCCGCTGCTGTCCCTCACTGTAGTGCACACAGGAACAAACACAAACTAAAGTGTACACAAAAAAGAAAAAAATCTCAAGTCCCTGTTTGGGCGGGGACTGAGTGGAGCGGGGCGGGCCAGGGCGTCGGCTTCGCTCCCGAGCGGTCACTCTTCCCCATGAGAGGCGAGCCACCGCGCGGAGCTGACCGGACGCACACACCATGGCCGGAGCCTGGGCTCTCCAGGAACCCCGAGAGCGTGTCGGGGGCCGCGCTGGCTGAGCAGGGAGCCCCCGGCGGGCGATGGGGGACCGGGAGCGCAACAAGAGGCGCTTGCTGGACCTGCTGCGCGCGGCTGGCACCGGCAACGGGGTGTGCGCGGACTGCGGGGCGCCAGGTAAGAGACCCGGACACCTCGGGGCCCCAGGCGCGCCTGGCGATAGCCCACCCCCAGCCTGGACCATGAAGCCTCCCAGCAGTCGGACCCACACCCGGAGAGCCCTCAGTCTTGTCTTGCATCTGCCCACCCCAGCTCCCTTGTTTCCTCTGTGCTTTTCTACTGGCTCCCTGGCCCAAGCCCTCTTCACCCTCCTCACTCCGTTGGTATTTCCTAGCGCTGTCCTTCCTATCCCCGTAGAAGTGGACCTGTCAGTAGTTTGAGTCACCGTTCTTTCAGCGAGGCTGTTTAGCATTCAGTGAGACTCCTGCGCAGGTGAGGCGTCCACCTGTTGGAGGAAATGGGGCGAGGGAGGATTTTGAAGAAAGCAGGGTACTCCCTTAGAATGCTTTTTGAGAATTGGTGTTAGAGCCAGTAGCCCTGATTCCCAGACTCTGGCGCAAGGCTAGGTTTTCCTCCACGTGTCCATTAGACTGCACCAGCCCCTTCCTAACGCAGCCACGACAATCCATCCCTGCTCCCCAAAGTGCCAGCAGCAGCACTCTGGGCTATCCGTCTGCAGCTAAACCGCACCCCAATCCAGTTTTCTAGCTGTCCTCTCTTCCCCCTGCAGATCCTGACTGGGCCTCCTACAAGCTGGGGATTTTCATCTGCCTGAATTGCTCCGGAGTGCACCGGAACTTCCCTGAGATTAGTAAAGTGAAATCGGTTCGACTCGACTTTTGGGATGACAGTATCGTGGAGGTAGAAGGGGGAACGGGGCTAGAGAATCATAGTCGGAAAAATGTCGGAGGTGACGAGGACTCCCAGACTCTCTCCTTTTACAGCGGAGGAAACTGAGGCCGGGAGGGAAGCGATTTGCTCAAAGGAGCTTACATTTTGATAGAGGAGTCCAGCAATCAGTCAAAAGCATGTGCATACCGCATGGTTCCATCCCAGATGCCTACACAGAAGGGAATTGAACCCGGGTCCCTTGCTTCCCAAGCCAGTGCTTTTCCCCACATCACCCCAAGAAACAAACACTGAACCCAGAGCAGCAGTGTTCAAGGCTGGCCCCCATATATTCCCATTTCTTAGATGTAACGATGATACTAATGGGCAGCCAGCCCTGGGGCTAATCTTCCTTTATCCCTGTTCAGGGACTGAGCCTCTGATTTCATTGGTATAGAGAACTCCTGGATGAGAAATTCCCTCTACCAAGACGGATCTCCCTCCTTCTCTACAGCTTAGTCTTAGAGAGTTGCCTTGAGCACTGAAAGGTTAAATCGAGTCAACACAACCCCTAGTAAATCAGCATTTATTAAGCACTTATGTGTTTTGGCACGGTGCTAAGTGCTAGAGATAAAAAAAAAGGCAAAAATAGTTTCTGCCTTCAAGGAACTTACATTGGAATTCGTAGCGAAGTCTGGCAGTCAAAAGCATGGGCATAAGATACTTACTGAGGTGGGTAAGTTAACCTTAGAGGGCAAGGTTCTAGCACTTGGCGGGGGACTAGGAAAGGCCTCCAGGGGAAGGTGGCATTTGAGCTGAGCCTTGAAGGAAGCCAGTGATTCAAGGGGGAGGAGAGTGAGAAAGGGGGTGTATTCTAGGCATAAGAAGCAGCTACATACAAAGGCGCTGAGATGCAATATGGAAAGGCATATGTATGTATTTAAGGAACATGTAGCTGGTCATTTTGGCAGGATCATAGAGTGAGTGGTGGAGGAGAGTAAAATATAAATAAGCCCGTCAGCATGTGTCCGGGAGGGACCTAGGGCCAGGTGTTCCTGGTTCAGCAGACAACTCTCTCCCATCGTCAGGCTGCCTCTCTCACAGAGGGTAGTGGTGGCCATAAAATCCCCAAATATCAGATAATTCCCCCAAATCTCTTTGACTGGGGAAATAGACCCCAGTCCTTTTTCCCAGGAAAATTTACCTCCTTGAAGCTCAGCTCAGGGTGATGTTAAAATGAGAATGCAAGATGCATTTTGGTATAGGAGACGGAAAGCTGTCCCGGAGTCAGGAAGACCTGAGTTCAAATACCATCTCTAACACATCTTGACGTTGAGACTCTAAGCAAGTCACTTAAACTCTTAGTGCCCCAGGAAAACTCTCTAAGACTGTATGGTGAAGAGAAGCTGTCAAGCTGTATCAGTGAAGGGAATTTCCTAACCTGGGAGTTTCCTACAACAAAGAAATCACACACACACACACACACACACACACACACTTGCATTTCCAGAGCTGTCGCATGCTTATGGCTAGGACGCTGTCCAGAAATGTGCTGGTTGGTAAGCAGCTAGCTGGGTGTTAAGATCCCCCAGGCAATACAGAAAGTGAGTGTGGATGATAGAGAGTTAACTGTGTCCATGGGCAGAGATTTTAACTGAAAGGTTGGCATTCGGTTCCTCCCAGCCTGGTCTGTGAGAGTCCAGCAGTAGCCACTGTTTTCAGCACCCTGGTGGTTTGCCTCAGGGGGCTACAAGATGTCAAAGCATCCGGTCAAAACGGAAAAATCAGATGTGTGACGAATCCAAATGCCAAGCCCCCAAATGCTTCCCAGTGTTTGCAGGCATCTGCCTGATTCAATAACGTTGATCCTTCTGCTCTCCTGGAAGGCAACCCTTCCAGGGTTGCCGAGCCTGCTCTACCACTGTCCTAGCCAGCAGCATGCCAGGCTGGTCTCTCTGTCTGTCAAGTTGGTTCCCCAGTTGCCTGTGGCTAGAGCTCATTATTGCAGTCTAGAGCCACCAGACTGATGGCCGAATTACCAGCAGTGGCTCTAGGACCAGGGCAGCAGCCTCTTCCCATGACCATGGTGCGCCTCCCTTGAAAGACAGGAATTTGTCTGCACTTGCTGTGGTTTCATTTCACATTTTAGGCTCTAAGATCATGCAGGGAAATGGGTGAGTGCAAGAGGCAGGCCGGAGGTGGGGGCTGGAGAGGAGGAAGGGCCCAGGCCCAGACGCTGATGCTGCCACCAGCCGCCAAGCTGACTTTTGTTTTTCAGTTCATGACACGAAACGGAAACCTCTGTTCCAAGGCAAAATATGAAGCAAAAGTCCCTGCTTTCTACTACATCCCCCAGTCTGAAGACTGCCTGTAAGTGGGGCTCTTTTAGGGTCTGAGCTGGTCTCCCTCCCATTACCATCATTCAAGTTAAAGAACTCCCAGTGCTTGACCTTCAGGCCTTCATGGGATCGTAGAGTTACAGCTGGAAGGATTTTGGAAAGCCATTGTGTTCAGCTCCCTCAGGCTGAGAAAGTTTAAATTATTCACCTAAGATTGCACAACTAATAAGTGTCTGAGGCAGGATTTGAACCCAGGTCTTCCCAACTTCAAGCCCAGTGCTTTATATTCACTACATCATTCTGATCTTCCTGCTCATTCATCTCTCCTTTTGTGACTTCTAATGTTTTTGCCCACGGAGAGAGCCTACGCTTGGCTGGCAGCTAATCTAACCAGAATTTAGGTCACAGAATCACAGAGAGTTGAAAAGCTCCTGTGCAGCCTTCTAATGCAACCTGTACAGGAAAGGAACCCCCAGGATGACCCCCCAGACAAGTGGTCCTCTAGCTTCTGCTTGAAGACCCACCAGGGAGGGTGAACCTGCTGATTCTTAAGGCAGCCTATTTATTCCAGCTCTAAATATAAATGTTTTTCCTGATATCAAGGCCAAAGTCTTCCAGGCGACTTCCTCTTTGGAGAGGCAGTGTGATCAAGGGGAAGTCTCACTGGCATGGCAGTCAGGAGTCTTGGGTTCTAGTCCTAGTTCCTTCATTAGTTTGTATGATCTTGGACAAGTCACCTCCCTTCTGAGGAAACTTCTGATTCCTTCCCTGAATTTGTATTAAATAGCCTCTGAGGTCCCTTCCAGCTCTGATAATTCCTTGTTCCAGAAGCAACTGGGCTGATTAGGAGTCAGGTGTGAGTGTTGGATGGGATGACTGGGTTGTGACTCCTCTCTCTTCTTAAAAACTTTTTAATTCCACTTCTGTTTGCACGTTCAAGGCACATTTACTCCCGAGCAATAAGGTTTGGTTTCTTCCATTTCTTTTGGGGCATCCTTTGAGTAATTTCCTCTTCTGACTTAGGGATGAGTTCTTCCTTTTCAGTAAGTATCGTATCATTATGATAAGGGGAACTCTTACGTGAGCTGAGTGATCCAGGATCCCTGTAAGTATACCTGTGCATTTTGGGAGCCTTACTAGTCTGGACAGGGTTAATGACAAGAGAATCCACATCCAAACCCTCTAGTTCTCCATCACGTTCTACATTTTTGAGCATATGCAGCAAGAACTCAACCCTCTTTTTGGGCCAACGACCACGGCTTACCAGAGCCACGCCTGTCAACTCCACTATCATACTGACGGAATGGAGTACCTTGATTCTTTAATGTCACCATCTTTCACATACTGGGTTCCTTTTCAGATGTGGAAACCCTTGAGGGCTTGGGTAGTTTCACAAGTGTTCTTAAAATGGACTTGAGATTTGACCCCCTTGACTTGCATGATTTTGTGAGATTCTCTGGACCTAGTGAGCATCTCACCATTTCAAATGCTTACCTAGGCTGGCTCAAGGGAAGAGCCAAGTTGCCTTTGAAAGAGACGGTACTGGGTGTGCCCCAAACTAAGCCTGGTTCCTGGGTAGCAGTCTACCTAGGTAGGTAGGCAAAAGTCAGGTTTCTGGACTTCCCAGTCTCCTAACTTTGGAATTGCAGAAGTAGAATGTAAACTCCCTGAGGTCAGGGACTCAGGGTTTTGTCTTTGCTGTTGCCTAGAACTGGTAGGCGTTCAATAAAGCGCTTGTTAAATTGAATTCAATTGAATTGAATTAAGAGAGTATTGAAACACAGCAAAAGGGTCTGGAATGTTCTAGGAGTGAGACATGGGTCCCAGAGGCCAGTCTCTCCATTCTAAGTACAGCCATCCTGTAACAATTTTTCATTTGTATGTTCATCATTTTGCATAGTACTTGGAATGTAGGAAGCACTTAAAAAATGTTTTCCCATCCATTCCAGATGAAACGCCTCCCCTATGTTCCTCATGGCATTGTTGTAAGAATCAAATAAGGTGTGAAAGCTCTTTGAAAATGGCAACATGATAGATATAAATATGAACATACTTGGTACAGTATGCAGATAGATGCAGATAGATACAGATACATAGGGGAAGTCAGGTGGTGCAGTGGATAGAGCACTGGACATGGAGTCAGGAAGACCTAAGTTCAAATCCAACCTCAGACACTCACTAGCTATGTGACCCTGGGCAAGTAATTTATCCTCTGTTTGCCTCAGTTTCCTCATCAGTAAAATGGGGATAATAATAGGACTTCTTTTACGTGCTCACTATATTCCAAGCACTATGCTAAGTAATGAACATACATATGAAAAATTGAGACAGTCCCTGCCCTCAAGGAGCTCACATTCTAATTAGGAGACAAAGCACATACAAGAAGACTTATATTCATGTTCTCTTCATGAAAGGACGAGGCCAGAAAATACTTGGGTAGGGAAAGTAGCGAGGAAGAAGGCAAGGTCCTGAGAACCTGGGGGAGCAATGTCAGGGCAGATGGTTCCCTGCCAAGAGGACAGTGTGTCCAAGAGTTAAGAGTAGAATGGGGTTTGGGCATATCTCCAACAGAGATGTAGGGTATGTAGGGGGTCAGAATCCAGCTGGTAGTGGAAGAAGCAAATCCACGTAATGGTCATCATTTTGCTTGCCTTCTCAATGGGTAGGGGAGGGGCTGCAGTGAGTGAGAGAATTTGGAACTAAAAATATAAAAAGAAGGGGCAGCTAGGTGGTGCAGTGGATAGAGCACCAGCCCTGGAGTCAGGAGGACCTGAGTTCAAATCCGGCCTCAGACACTTGACACTTGCTAGCTGTGTGACCCTGGGCAAGTCGCTTAACCCCATTGCCTAGCCAATATATATATATTTATATACATATACATATGTATATATATATAATCCTAAAAAATAAACATTTAAAAAAACCATAAAAAAGAAAATGCAAATATTTAAAAGCAAGGAGTTAGACTAAGTGACCTTTAAGACCCTTCAGCTGTAAATGCATGATTCTAGCTCAGGCTCAACAGGCTCAGAGAGACAAACCATTTGCCCAAGGTCACACAGCTAGGAAGCTCAAAACTAGAACCTAGATGCCTAGACTGTGTCTCCCTGTGCCCAATAAACAGAGGCATAGAATTAGTCAGCCAACAAGTATTTATTAAGCGCCTACTGTGTGCCATGCACTGTACTAAGAGATGGTAAAACAAACAAAGAAATCCAGCACTGCCCTCCGGGAGCATCCATTCTAATGGGGGAGACCACATGCTGCAGAAATGGCAGATCTTGTGGCAGGCGCAAAGTCTCACCCCAGGAACTTAGCTTTCTTATTCAAGGCAACAGTCCCAAGATAGCAAAGCAGCTAGTGCCCTTTCCTAGAGAGGGAGTGAGAAACAGTAGCCTGAGTGCCGGAGGGCGTTGCCTAGGGCTGTTGTTTTAGAGGCAGCAGAGGTAGGTTAAGGGGGTGGGATATGCCCAGATACCTTTGAGAAGGTTTTGAACCCATCTCTAGTCCTTACTCCTTAACCTCAAAATCAAGTCAACAAGCATTTATTAAATACCTACTATGTGCTAAACACTGAACTAAGCTCTAGGGATACAAAGAAAGGCAAAATCAGTCCTTGCCCTCAAGGATCTCTCAGTCTAATTAATGTGAGATAAAACATGCAAATAATTATGTGCAAATAACATATATGTGTATATATGCACACCTTTGTATCACAAACATATATATTCATATGTATGCATATACATATATAATTGGATATGATCAAAAGGGGTTAGAAAGTTGAGGACATTTTAAACTGCTTTGGAAAAACCCCAAAGAAATCCACTAAACACTTTAAAAGCCCAAGTCCGGGGCCCAGGGCTGGTCTTCTTTCAATATTTACCCAAGAAATCCTTGCTAAATCCGTGGCCAGCCTGGACACAGCACTTCCCACCACCACAAACACCCAGGTCTTGGGATGACTTCTTAGTTCTAGAATCTGAGTTTCACATCAATGAGAGCTCTAATCCTGAGAGCTTACCCTCTCTCTCTCTCTCTCTCTCTTTCTCTCTCTCTGTTTGTGTATTCTTTTTCCAGAAGGTACAGGTGACATTGTCAGGAAGATGCTCTTTGACTCCTGTCACAGCCCGTAGAGTGAGCACGGACTCAGCAAGCTTAATTGTCTAAATTCCAATGCCTTTTTGAGGGTTCAAACAGTTTAGGGGAGTCAGGGTCCCTGCTTTACCAACCAGGGATTATTTGGAGGAGGGAGCCTAGTACCAGCCTCGTATAAGGCTGTACCTCTGGTTTCCATCCAGCTATAGGAATTTCATCAAGAGCTTAATTTTCCTGTGGAAAAAAATGCTGCAGACCCAGCTAACTAACCACAGCCTTTCTCTCTTCAGGGTCTTAAAGGAGCAATGGATCCGAGCCAAATATGAAAGACAGGAGTTTGTGGCTGGCAGCCTCACCTGGACCATCTCTGGTAAGGCAGATTCTATTGCTGAAGTTTGTGTTTTAATGGGCACAAGAAAATATGACTCCAGTGTCACGAGCAGAATTTTAACAGAGGGGTGCTGGCTCTCCAGTTATGTTTTACATATAGATAAGAGATTCAGGGCAGAAAGAGTCCTTAAAGGTGACATAGTCCAATTCCTTCATTTTATAGAGGTCCTGTGATTTCACTCATATAGGGAAATTCTGGATGAGAAAATTTACTTTGTATCCATCAGTAGCAGATCAGAACCTGCTCTATAAGTTATTGTATGAGAGAACTTCATGGGACACCGAAAAGTTAAGTGACTTACCCAGGATCATACATTTAGAAGGGACCTTAGAGGCCAATGAATCCAATTGCCTCCATTTTACAGATGAGGAAACTGAGTCCCAGAAAGAGTAAAAGGCTTACCCAGAGTCACACAGCCAGGTTGTGATTATTGATTGGCTGGTTACGATTGCCAAATCAGTGTAGTCAGCTCTCAGTTACCTGGTGCCAACACAGATACTACAGAACTCCAATTCCAGAGAGCCTGGCACAGAGGACCACACAGTGAACCCAGCATAGGTTCAAGCTTTGGCACTACTGCTTATTTGCTATGGGCTTGGGCACGCTTCTTAGTCTCTCCAAAGCTCAGTTTAGTCATCTGTAAAATGGAGATAATGCCAGGCCACCTACCTCACAAAGGGGGATCAAATCAAATGAATCGAGCTTCTTTAGGGCTCTGAAACCATAAACTGCTGTGTGTTTGAGCTGTTGTCCCCAGAAAGGCCTGGGTTCAAGTCCTGCCTGACTCGAAATGGCTATGTGACCTTGATCAAGTCCTTGTCCAAAACTTGTCAAAGGCAACTTGCTATGTTGCAGAGAAGGTATTGACTTGCATCGGTAGAGCAAGTTTCCTCATTTGGTCATTTCCTTTACTAATGAAATCATAGGTCCAGTTCTTAGCCTTAGTCCTATTAAGTCACTATGGTTAGACCATAGAATGTGTTAATCAGGATTATATAAATTGATATATGATACTTTGGGATAGCCAGCCGGGGATTTTCTGTCCATAGGATTAAAGCTCAAGAGCTGAAAGGGATCTCTAGTTCAACCCTTAAATTTTACAGATGAGGAAACTGAGGCCCAGAGAAATAAAATTGCTTTCCTAAACCACACAGAGAATCATAACTCCAGAGCTGGAAGAGACCAGCCCTCTGGTGGCTCTGATGGCTCAGAAGCTTCTGTAAAACAAACAAACAAACACATTTGTTTGTTTATTTTTCCAACTTCCTGCTATAGCTACTTGCTACAGCTAATTCACAAACGAAATAACCCATATGTGGATAATAAAACTGCATCTGATTTGGTGGATCCTTGGGAAAAGGGGTCAGGAATGACTCTTCTCACTCAGGCCAGAGGCCCTTAACTTGGAACCCCTGGGGTATGGTGTCCCTAATGGCTTGGGACATCCAGCATCTATCGCAGCTCTCATCGATGCCGATGGTGATCTCATCCTGTTTGCCTTTCTTGTGAGTACATTTCCACATTCCTCCAGAGAAGATCTCTCCAACATTCTGTAGGCCTCCTACCTCCTTGACCATCTCACGGATAGTTCTGTAGTCTGTCGGGCAGTCCATCTGATGATCCTGGCTCTCCTTGATATTGTCTTTTACGCCCTCTTTTAGGCTTGTGTGTGCTGTCAGTCTCCTCTCTGCCTTCCACTGGCATCACCCACACTTTGGATTATTTGGAGAACAATAATGAGGATAGCTGATACTTAAATGGCTCTTTGGGGTTGACAAAGCTCTTTATGTATATCATTTCTTCTGATCCTGATTACGATTCCATGAGGGGGGTACTACTGGTATTACTATCCTCCTTATTCTACAGATCAAGAAACTGAGGCTGAGAGTTGAATGAGTCGGTCATCCATGGTCACACACATGTTAAGTGTCAGAGACTGAATTTGGATCAATTAATCAATCAACAAGTAGTTATAAAATGCCAGGTTCTGTTTTAGGCGAAGAGCATACTTTCTAATGCAGGTCTCACCTGAGTTCAAATCCCTTGCTCCTTCCGCCATATTCTCAACAACATTTGGTTGTTGAGCTCAAGGGAGCAGCCTCTGGTCTTGTTGAACTGAAGTAACCAAATCGATCCAGGGATTCTTTGGTGAGGGGATTTAGGAGTGGCACCAGAGGTGCTGATGGGTCTGTTTCTCATCTTTGTTGATTAAAGACAACCGAGAAGGGCTCCTATGGAAACGGGGAAGGGACAATGGGCAGTATCTGAAGAGGAAGTTTGTCCTTTTGGCAAGAGAAGGCTTTTTGAAATACTACACCAAAGAAGAGGTAAGTGTTACTGTTGGTTCTAACAGGTTGGAATAGAGCTCTGAACCTGGGGGTTATGAACTTGTTTTTTAAAAAAATATTTCAATAACTGCATTTCAGTGTAATTGGTTTCCTTTGTAATTCTATGTATTATGCTTTGTGCATTTAAAAAACGTTGTTTTGAGAAGGGGAGCATAGACATCATTGGATTGCCAAAGCAATCTATGGTATACACACACACACACACACACACACACACACACACACAAAGGTTAAGAACCCCTGGGTTAGGTCAATAGGGTCAACCATTATCCCAATAGAGGGCTCAACTGTAGCCAGTTGTACCCTAGCACCAAGGGTATTTTTAGACAACAGCAATGAATGAAAAGCAGTTATTAAGCTCTTACTATGTCTTTAGAGCAGGGATAGACAATTGAGGCAGTCCCTGCTTTCAAAGAGCCCACATTTTAATTAAAGGAGATAATACATAAAGGGGAGCAGTTAGGCACAGTGGATAGAGCACTGGTCATGGAGTCAGGAAGACCTGAATTCAAATCCAGCCTCAGATACTTACTAGCTGTGTGACTGTTGGCAAGTCACTTAATCCTGTTTGCCTCAGTTTCCTCATCTGTAAAATGAGCTGGAGAAGGAAATAGCAATCCACTCCAGTAAAGAAAACCCCAAATGGGGCCACGAAGAGTTGGACATGACTAAAAAATGGCTGAACAATAACACATAGAGGGGAGCTCATTCTCATATTCAGTTTATGGAAGATGAAAAGATCAAGAAGTACATGAGCTAGCAGGACAGATGGTAAGGCCCAAAGGACCTTGGGGAGCAAGGGTGGTCCGCATCCAGCTGACAATGTAAATGGCAAATCTTTAAATAGAGGAAGCTGGACTAGGTGGTCTCCAAGGTCCCTCTCACTCTAAAGCTATGGTCCCAAGATCCCACTTTACCAATGAAGAAAATGGCTCAGAGAGGTTGAACCATTTGCCCAAGGTCACAGAGTTAGGAAGTGTTAGACCCAGAGCTGGAGCCAAGGTCTCCTGATGCCTAGACCGTATCTCCTTGGTTCAACGAGCAGGGGCAGAGCCAGTCAGTAAGCATTTATTAAGAACTTATTATGTGCCAGGCACAGTGCTGAGTGCTGGGGATACAAAGGCAACATCGGACCCTGTCCTCGTGCAGTGTACATTCTTATGGGAGTGGCAACATGAATACAGATAGGTACGGGCAAGGTACCCGAAAAATAGACAGGACCTAACCCTGGAAGGGAAAGCTCTAGCAGCTGGGGTGGCTGGGTTGGATATGTGAGACGGTGAGTATTTGTGTTGAACTAGGAGCTGAGAGGCATTGGATGGATAAGGCCACCATGCTGCCTATCACTCTCCTTTCATTCATTCATCTATTCATTCAACAAACACTTATTAAGCACCTACTGTGTACTGAGCATTAGGGAACAGCTTCTAGTCTAGTAAAGGGATTGTTGCTGCAGGATGATTGTTTTTCTTTCAGGGAAAAGCACCCAAAGCCATCATCAGCATAAAGGACTTGAATGCCACATTTCAGACAGAGAAGATAGGAAACCCCCATGGGCTGCAGATCACCTACAAGAGAGATGGCCATACCAGGAACCTCTTCGTATATCATGAGAGTGGGAAGGTAAATAGCCCAGAGCCCCCAGCTTCTCTGTTAGGATACCAGACCCAGGGTCCTCTGGCTGACTAATGTCATTTCTATTCTTAATCATTCTCCTCTGTGCCTTGACATTCTCCCTACGTGGATGAAAGGCATTACCTTAACTAATCTCCAGCCACTAAATCTGTAGTGGCATCAAAACAAGGCAGACCAAAGACCAGGCAACCCCAGGGGCTGGTTTTTTTAGGTAGCAATGGATCACAAAGGGGAAATCAGTTAGTGTGAGGGAGTCCTGGGGGTTCGGGGAGTCCATGGAGGGCAGAGAATCTGGGTTCGGTGCAAGAGTGGTGGTGGATGAGAAGCCCAGTCAGAGAAATTGGGGGAGAGAAGTGGGTACCTTGGTCCCAAATGTAGTGAAACAGTCCAGGTTGAGAGGTCCAGGAGATCAGCATGAGCATAGAGGGACAGGCAGGGAGCAAAGGGCCAAACATAGAGGTGGAGATAGAGTCTGGTCTGTAGTTTGGGGACCAGGCAACAGAGAGTCTAGCATGGGTGGGGAACCTGTGACCTCAAGGCCACATGTGGCCCTCTAGGTCCTCAAGTGCAGCCCTTTGACTGAATCCAAACTTCACAGAACAAATCCCCTTAATTAAAGGATTAGCTGTGTAAAACTCAGACTCGGTCAAAAGGTTGTACCCAAGGACCTAAAAGGCCACATGCAGCCTTGAAGCCATAGGTTCCACACTCCTAGAAAAGAGAGGCTAAGCAAGGGACCAGCCCCTGTTTTAAAAAGTCCTGGGAAGGACCAAACAGGCAAGACTGTTCAGATCTTGGCTCTGCTACTATCTGTGAGACCTTAGATAAGTCACCTGATCTCTCTTTGCCTCCTTTTAATCATCTACAAAATGGGGATATTTGTTCAATCTACCTCACCTTGGGAGAGTCAAATAATAGAATTCTGTAAAGCATTTTTTTTGTTTTTATTTTTTTATTTTTAGGCAATTGGGGTTAAGTGACTTGCCCAGGGTCACACAGCTAGTAAGTGTCAAGTGTTTGGCCTGAGGCCGGATTTGAACTCAAGTCCTCCTGATTTCAGGGCCAGTGCTCTATCCACTGCGCCACCTAGCTGCCTCCTGTAAAGTATTTTGTAAAATTTAAAGTGTTACATAAATGCCAGCTCTCATCTTTATTACTATCAGCAACAGGGTGATGAGTACCAGTTGCAGGGCAGGGCTTATCTGTTTTAGGTTTTCGGCTCCCTGCTTCTTGGTGTGGACAGTCACAGGGTTGGCCAATAGGTGAAGGCTTCCAGAGAAAGGCAGAAATCTACAGAATCCAGATGTTCTTTCTTGATTGGTAGCCAAAAAAAGAGGAGGAGGGGGCCCTCCAGGAATCCCAACACCTGCCATGTCAGAGGTTGCCCTGTCCCCGTCATAGGAACACAGATTGAGGGGCATTTGGTGGGGTGGAGAGACCAGCCTTGAAATCAAAAAGACCTGGGTGCATATCCTTCCTTTGACACATTCTAGCTTCATGACCCTGGGCAAGTCACTTTAACTTTTCAGGGTAAAGGCAACAAGATTAAGTCCCAGAAAAGGGTATGGCATCTTCACTGGTAGAGGGAATTTCCAAACTGGAAATTCCCTATGCTAATAAAATCACAGGTATGGATCTACCCAATGGTGTGTTGGTAAATGTTTAACAGCTGGTTCTTCAGGAAAAAAAAATGTACACAGGAAACACTCTTCAGTTTACTCTTTGTTATTACCATTTTTTTCATCATTTTATTAAGTCTTGACAATCAACAATAACAAAAAAACAAATCAAGGCCTGGTTTGTATTGTTCAGCAATTTCTGAGGCGTAAAGGCTCACCTGGACAATTCAACCATTGACTGTGGTGAGCTGGTTGGAGTTGTTTCAAGGAACCACAAAAAGAATCCAAGTTAAATTCGAAAAGAGCCTTGAGAGGTCATCTAATGGAACCCCTGATTTTACAGAGGGACAAATTGAGGTCCAGGGGAGTGAAACATCTTCTCCAATACCACCCAGTGGGTAGGTAGGACCAAGATTAGGAGCTAAGGTCTTCTGGCTCCAAATCCAAGGCTCTTTCCATGCACCCCTCATTTCTCACAGTGTGATTGGAGCAGTTCTGACAATGGCCACCAAGCCTAGCCTCATCCCGAATAACAGCCTGAACAAGATGGGTCTCCAATATCCCCTGGCACCTCACCGTAGGTACTCTAGCTCTGTACTTTCCAAATACCTTGTTTTTGCTGTCTGTGCAGCCCACTTCTAGAGGCACAGTCACTCAGCTGATAAGTATTTACCAATCACTTCTTAGGTGCCAGGCACCTGGTAAACCTAGGGAAAGAAAGGGAAAAACATGGTCCCTACCCTTAAGGAACTATACCTTCCAATGGCGTAGATAATATGCAAACAACTACGTACATATAGTATATGCACAGATGAAATGGAAAGCATTTTTGAGGTGTCAGTAACATTTTGGCTGTTCGTGTTATATACTGTGAAAGGATTGGCATGGATGCTAATAGTCCCATGATCAAGACCAGTCTTTTTTTTTTTTAAAACCTATTTTTATTTTGAACTTAATAAATCTGCCCCCCCCACCCAGGTACCCTCCCCCTTTCCCCCACCCTGGATATTCTCATATATAGAACAAAAAAAGATTATTGTACATAAAGCTGAAGGTCTTCATTACATACAGCTTGCTTTTCTTTTTAAATATATTATTAGGTCAACCTGTAGCTTTCAAAGCTATCCTGCTTGTTTGTGCTTCTCTCCAGTCTTTTGTTCCCTGTGTTTTTTATCTCAATAATCCTCTTTTTTTTCTTTTTAAGGCTACTCTGGCCATGCAAGTCAACTGTACTTTATTTTATTTTTTTTATTTTTAGGCAGTTGGGGTTAAGTGACTTGTCCAGGGTCACACAGCTAGTGTCAAATGTTTGGTCTGAGGCCCAATTTGAACTCAGGTCCTCCTGACTTCAGGGCCGGTGTTCTATCGACTGCGCCACCTACCTGCCCCTCAACTGTATTTTAGATTAGGCTCGTGAGATGTTCTGATGTTTTAATTTGGTCGAAAATACCAGGAATTTATTAAGTATCTACTATGAGGCAGACCCTCTGCTAGATGCTGGCATTACGAAGATGAAGGCAGGGGATGTAGGCAAAGAAGCATAATCCAAGGTGAAATGTGATAGGAGCAAAGGAGGGACCCAGAGCGCTCCAAGGCAATTTCAGGCAGGAGAGACACTTTCACCTGGGATGGAGGAAGATTTTATGAAGGAGGTGATTGAACTTCAAAGAGGGGAGGATGTCAACAAAAAGAGATGAGAAAGATGTGAATTCTAGACAAGGGGAAGGACCTTTGGAAGTGCACGGAAGCAGCAGGGCAGAGGGATACGACAGCCTAGTTTAGGTAGAATGGACGGTAGATACGGGGGAATAATGTGAAATAAGGCTGGAAAGATAGATTGTAGAGAGCCTTCAACACCCAGGGGAGAAGTTCATATGTTATCCTTGAGTCAACAGGGATCCACTGAAGGGTTGTGAGCAGCTCTGTGCTTCAGGAAGACAGTCTGGTCAATAAATGTGAAGGGTGGATTGAGAGGGTTTGGAGACCATTGAGAAAGACAAAAAAGAATGATGGTGAGGGCCTTAACCTAGGTGGTAGCTCTGAATAGAGAGGAGACAGATGTAAGAGAGTGTGAAAGCAGAGTTGTGACTTAGCAACCTCTTGGATAATAGTGAGGGAAGAATTAAGGTAGATAGGACCGTGCAGTGAGCATGGGGAGAGACCTCAGGGTCAGCTAGTCCAATGGTGTCAAACTCAAATAGAAAGGATCAGAGGCCACTAAAGCATACACTAGAGTCCCTGAGGTCACATATTGGGTTAGAAAACCACATATTAATATTATTTTTATTTATTTTGTTAACTATTTCCCCATTACATTTTAATCTGGTTCTGGTCATACCCCAAAGCATTTTGGGCTGGGTGGGGCTGTTTGACCCCTGTGGTCTAGTCTAATCTCCTCATTTTACAGATAATGAAACCGAAGCCTAATCAAATTAAATGATTTGTCCAAAAGGTTTTGGAGTAGTAAGTAGCAGAATCTGAATTTGAACTCAGATCCATGATTTTCCCCCCTATTGCAAACTTCAAGGTTGACCATCTCCTCCCATGTTGATGCTTATTACCTCCACTTTCTTACCTTCTGCTCACTCCGAGACACTTCACTGAAACTGCTCCTTTCAAAGTTGCCAGTGATCTCCTCATGGCCAATCCAGTGGATTTTTTAAAGTCTTCGTTGTTCTTGACTTCTCTGCACCGTTGGTCATCCTCTCTTCCTGGACATCCTCTTGGGGTTTCTTGACACTTGTCTTTCTACCTGTCCGACTACTCCATTTCCTTTGCTGGATCATCGTCCAAGCATCGCATCTCATCCCCTATCTATGGGTATACCAAACACGCTCTGAGGTTTTGTCTTAGAGCCCCCTCTTTTTTTCTACCGCTCCATCCTCTCTCTGAGTGATCTCATCAACTCCCATGGTTCCATTAGCATCTCTGTGTAGATGACTTGACTCCCAGATCTCTGTATCCAGCCTTGGGCTTTTTCCTGAGCTCCAATCTTGTGTCACCAGCTACCCAGTGGACATTTCCCACTCTGGCATCTCAAACTCAGCATATCCAATGCAAAGCTCATTCTCTTTCCCTCTGATCTCTTGTCTCTTTCTATTATGTTTCTGTTTCTATTAAGAGCATTCCTAGGCACCTAGGTTTATAACTTTGGAATCATCCTTATTCCTTACTCTCCCTTACCCAACATTACAATCAGTTACCAAGACTTGTTGACCCTACTTGCTGATGGATGTGATATATTACATCTTTCTCCTCTCACATAGCTACCACCCTAGTCCAATTCCTCATCACCTCTCCTCAGAATCATAATTGGGATCCCTGCCTCAAGCTCCTCCCTGCTCCAACCTACCCTCCACACAGCTACCAAAGTGATTTTCCTCAAGTGCATGTTTTTCCCTGTCACTCCTCTCCTCAATAAACTCCAGTGGCTCCCCATTGACTCTAGGATCCAATATAAGTTGCTCTTTACCTCAACCTTTTATAATTTCTATTTTTGTTTAAGTTTTATAATGTGTATAACTACTAGCACAACAATTTATATGCATAAATTTATAAATGTAATATACATAATTTATAAATGAGTAAACATATATACAATATATATTTTTTAATGATAGGAATAGATGATGAAAAATATTTGGAGAATGCAAATGCAGAGGACTTTTTCTTGGAGTTTAGTGGTGAAGCAGGGACACAATGCCTTGAGTGTGAGACAAGATTTTATAGAATAAGAGAAATCTAAGCATGCTCAGGCAGGGGGAAAGGAGCTGAGTGTTGCATGGCTGAGTAGGGAGCACATGACTGATACTCTTTATCAGCCAGGAAACCAATCTAATCTTCACTCCCCAAATGTAGGGAGCCTGCCTCCTCACTTTACTAACTGCCTTGACCCTATTTTTACGTATTTCCGTAGGAGATAGTGGATTGGTTCAATGCCCTCCGAGCCGCCCGTCTACACTACCTGAAAACAGCCTTTCCTGAGCTCCCAGAGTCTGAGGTGAGCTACATGAGGGTTCTGATTTCAATGGACTCTTCCACACTCCTGCTCTCCCCACATGCTGCAATCTTTAGTTTTCTCTTGAGTCTCAATCCTCTGGAGCAGAGACGTGTTTGCACCCAGTCTTCTATGCAAAGGGAAGAGGGAAGAAATTCCTGTACTTCGGACTTCCAGAACACCCCAGCCCTTCATTATATCAAGATAGTACTGGAACTGGGATTTCATTAATATAGGGAACTCCCAGGGAGGAAACTCCCTCTACTAGTTGCTTAGAGTACTGAAGGCCACACCACCAGGACATGTCAAAGGTAGGACTCGAATCCAGATCTGCCCAGCTTCTAGGTCAGCTCTTTCTCCATTATACCTTGCTGGAAGGGTATGCTACAGCCAGCTCAAACTAGAGAGAGCCTGATTGTTAAATTATTCAGTGTGAACATTGACATTTTGGAAATTGGTAAATGCTATAGATCAAGGTTTGATTTCTTGTTTTGTTGATTGTCTAGACTTAAGAAAGTGATGGGAAAAAGGAGAAATAATGAAACTTAAATCTGTTGTGTTTACATTTTTCTCCTTGCCTGCCCCCAGCTGGTTGTTAAACATTTACTACCATACCCCTGCTATTTTGCCTTTCATACCAAAATGTGCCCCCCAAACATTTTTAATTAATTATTTATTTTAAAGATTATTTTCTTTTTAAATTTTGAGTTCCAAATTCTTTCCCTCCCTCCCATTCCTTCTCCCATCCACAGAGACGGCAAACAATATATCAGTTACACATGTGAAAACATATTTATATATTAGCCGTATTTTTTTTAAAAAGCAAGAAAAAATGAGAAAATTGTACTTCAATATGCACTCAGTTCATCAGTTCTCTCCCTGGAGGTGAATAGCATTTTTCATCATGAGCCCTTTGGAGTTGTCTTGGGTCATTGCATTAATCAGAGCAGCCAAGTGTTTCATAATTGATCATCATTACAACATTGCTTTTACTGTGCACAATGATCTCCCGGTTCTTCTCACTTGGCTTTGTATCAGTTCGTTCAGGTCTTAACATATCCAAAATGTCCCTCTTAAACAAATGAGTAATGGCACAAAACAGAATGTAAAAAATGCATTTGGATCAGAGCTCTGAATGGTGTGGGGACCTCTGGATGAAAAGATTCCCTCTACCAGTAGAGGGCGGCACTTGTGATGCACCGTGGAGTCTTAGAGTCCCCTGGGTGATGGAGATGTTAAATGACTTGCCTAGGATCACACAGCAAGTTTGTACCAGAGGCAAGACTTGAATCAAGTCTTCCTGACTCTGAGGCCAGCTTTCTGTTCACTGGGCTATAGCCACTGTCTCTGATGCTAAAGGCAAACAACATGGTGTGGTATTTCTGAGTAGGTAAAGGTTACTTAAGGCTGAGAAATCAAAGAAGACATCATGCAGGAGATCATAAAACATAGGATGTGTTTCAGGGATGCTGACTTATCCCCATTTCATAGCATGCTGTTTGTCTGGGAGAGATGGAGATGTGATAAAGGGGAGTGCAGAGAGAGGAGTCTGGGAAAGGAAGTTGGGGCTAGATCACAGAGGGCCCTGAATGCCAAGCTAAAGAGTTTGACCTTGATTCAGTAGGCAATGGGAAACCATTGATAGCTTTTGAATAGGAGAATGACATCATGAAGAGTATACTTTAGGGAGACTGATTTAACAGCTGGTTATTATTCCCTTATCCCACCCAGCTTTCATTCAGTTTTACATTTAGTCCTCAAAATAACCCTATGAGAATGGTAGGACGGGTATCATTCTCCCCATTTCACAGAGTAAGAAATTAAGTCTCAGCAGTTACACAGTGTGGGGTTGTGGAATGAATGCTTCATTTGGAGTCAGATGAGGACCTTACTGGTTATGTGACCAGGGGCAGGTCACTTTCCCCACCTCAGCACTTCAATCTGGCTTTTATGAGAATAGGACCAATTGGCTCGAAATCTGTGTAGGGCTAGGGTTAGAACCCAAGGCCATCCATTCAACTCAATAAGCATGTGTGCCTACTCTGTGCCTGTGGTACTGTGGTAGGTGCTGGGTCTGCCCCTGACCTCTGGGAGTTTCCATTCTGGTGGAACAGATGGGCCTTTGCCTCCTGGCATCCCACCTGGGTAGCATGCAAGCCATGACATCACCTTCCCGATGTCATGGTCTTCTTCCAGAATGAAGGACAAACAACAACCATGTGCCCAGGTAGGCAGGCTGGATTGTCTCTGTTATAACTGAAACAGGAAGGAACAGGACAGATCTGACTCCTCTATCTTCAGTTGCCTGGTGTCCAGCTGTCTTTTTAAGGAAGGAGTTGACTGGGACACAGACTGAGATGGGGTCAGAAACAGGAAGAATGTGCCGGACTGAGGGTTTGGACAAAGAAGGGTGGGGAGAGGGAGGGAAAAAGTGGAAGGGGCGGTGCTAAGTGCTGGAACTGGGGCTTTGAAAACAAGCGAAACATTTCTTTGGAGTGGGTAAAATGGAAGTATTTTCCATTGTGATTATGAGTGGAGATAGGAGGGCTTCTGAACTGATGAAATTAAAGGGGTGTACGTTGTTGGGCCTTGGGCCTGGGAGCCCACACTCCCCTCTTGCAGGGTTTTCTGTGCATTTCAGGCCAGTGGGATCGCTTTGAAAGACCATAGCAGGACAAAGTGGGGCAGCTAGGGAGTGCCACAGGGTACAGAGCACCAGGCTTGGCGTTAGGAAGACTCGTCTTCATGAGTTCAAATCTAGCCTCAGACACTTCCTAGCTGGGTGACCTTGGGCTGGTCACTTCACCCTATTTGCTTCAGTTCCTCATCTGTAAAATGAGCTGGGGAAGAAAATGGCAAACCACTCCAGGACCTCTGCCAAGAAAATCCCAAACGGGGTCACAGAGAGTTGGACATGCCTGGAAAAGACTCAGCAGCAACAAACAGAACAAAGTACAAATGCTTAGCCTTATTTGACCTGAAGTGGCTTTCAAAATGTTGCTGACCCAACAGTAGGAAGTTAGTCATTGGGCAGCATTCTCATTCCCATCCTTTCCCTCAACCATCTTAATCCTTTATCTTCCTCCCCCCCCCCCCCAGCCCTCATCTCCTCCTCTCCCTTCCAGGCTTTTCCTGTCCTTGGGGCCTATTATCCCAAATAGTTATCTGAGCCTGATTTAGAATGGTGAAGCATTAGCTCACTTCTACATTATTTAGCCCGATTCTCTCATTTTAGAGAGACTGAAACTGACCTATAGATGGGTCAAGCAACCGTCCCGAGGTTACACTGTTAGATTGTACCAGAACAAGGACTTGAATTCAGGTCTTCTGACCTTCTAAGGCCAATGATCTTTTCACCAAACCATGTCCATTGGATTACAGATTTAGTACCAGAAGGCACCTGAGAGATCACTTTGTCCAGCCCTCTCATTTGGAAACTGAGATCCCAGGAGGTATCAAATGCCTTGCCCAAGGTCACAGGGATAATGAATGGCCTAGCCAGGATTTCAGTCCTCTGTGACTCAAAACTTAATGCTCTTTATTTTAAAAAATGAGAAAACATATTACAATGCTTTACAAACCTTAAAGGGCTATATAATGTAGTTATTTAAAAATATTTTATTGTTATATTTTGTTTTTAATATCACCTACATTTCTTCCTGCTTCTGCTCCCTCTCAGAGAGCTGTCCCTTAAAACAAAATTTGTTTTAAAAAAGAGGAAGAGAAAAATATTAGTAAAACCAATTAATACATCCCTCTCCGTTCCAAAAAAAAAAAAATCAGATGTCATATGCCATGTTCCTCACCCATGGACATCCACCTCTTAAATGAATTGCTCTTTTAATCATGATGCAGGGCCTTTGCATCCTTCCTTGGACCTGCATCCTCCTCCATAGTTCCATGCATGATGTCAGGCATGATCCTAGCAGCCTTATTCATCTCCTTGATCAATTTCCCTCCACCAGCCAACTACCATTGTTGGACCTTCACTGTTCATTGTTGAGTCTTAGGTGACAAATCTCAGTTTTCAGTTCTCAGTGTTCCCCATCTCAGAACCCTCACTTCTGCTCTGCAGAGGCAGCTCCTCTGAGCTCTCCTGTTCCCTGGCTCCTCCTTGTTCTCTCCTTCTTCTGCCAGACCATGCACTTGAGCTCAGGACCATAAACTCTTTTCCCCTCTCCCTTTCTGCTTTGTGTAGTCTCTGAAGTTTGAAGGGGACTCATGAGATTCAAGAATTTGTCCAGATTTTTCCTATAGTCTCAGATGGTAAACTGTTGTTTGAATAGGGTGTCAGCCTGAGGGAAAGCCGGTGGTGGTGTTGTGGATAGAATGAAGACACAGGGAGACAGGAAGACAGTGGTACAAATCTTGCCTTTAGCACTTACTGGTTGTATGACCCTGGGCAAGTCATATGACTTCTATAGACCTCAATTTTTTCATCTTTAAAATGAGGGCAGTAGACCTGTTGGCCTCTGAGAAAGATCATTGGATTTGGCCACTAGGAGATCATTGGTGTCTTTGGAGAGAGTAGTTTTGGTAGAATGATGAGGTCAGAAATCAAACTGTAAGGTGTTAAGAAGAAAGTAAGAGGAAAAGGAGTGCAGGCTTCTGTTGTTGATAGACTTTTTGAGGAGTTTAGCTACAGAGGGCAGAAGAGATATAGGGTCAAGTGAGAGTTTTTCGAGGATGGGAGAGACATGGCCATGGTTGTAGGCAGTAGGGAGAGAGCCAGTAAGGGAGAGATTGAAAATACATTGTAAGAGTGTGGCATAGGAGTAATCTCATGCCATGAGTGTAAGATAGCTTGTACTTTTCATCAGACTTTCCCAGCATCTCTCACAAAGGTTGGTAGATAGGGCTAAAAAGAGTCAGCAAGATGCTTCGGACATGGCCCTTTACTCCTACAACTTCCCCAGACAGAGAAGACAGAGAGCTCTTCTATGAGGAGCTGGAAAGGTATCCTATCTATGCTACCTGACAGTGATTCTGTTTCAGTAGTAATATTGCAATCCCTCATGCTCCAAATATAATCCTGTGGATAACAAACATACCTTCTTCCCCATTCTAGACTTCCCTTTGGTTATGAGTTCAAATGCAAGCTTGATAACATATTGTGGTGGGTGGGCTTCAAAATGGAGTGGGCCATGCTGGATGGGGCAGGAAATCAGTGTTAACCTCTCTTTCCATCCTAGCTCCTGCCTCACATCACCAGGAATTACCTCAAACAAGGCTACATGGAAAAGACTGGCCCAAAGGTATGCTCTTGGGCGGGGAGGACAGGGAGATCTAGTATTGTTGGGGAGAGAGGCTTGGGAGGTGGTTGGGGGAGGTAGGAGGGAGGCACCTTTTTAAATCAGTTTGTCGTGGGTGTCTTAGATGAAGAGCCCTGGTGAAGACACTCCCCCCCCCAAAAAAACAGTGTTATCTGAACTCTCGAAGACAAAGTGAAAAGTTAGACAAGTCTCTTCACCTCAGTCTAATTATTAACAGCTAGCATTTATACAGTCCTTTAAGGATTACAAAACATTTTATAAATAGAATCTTATTTTATCCTCACAACAGCTTGAAGACAGGGGCTATTATTATCCCATTTTACAGATGGGCAAACTGAGGCAGCCGGAGGTTATACGATTTGCTCAGGGTTTATACAACTAGTGTCTGAGGGCAGATTTCAACTTAGGGCTTCCTAACTCCAGGTTGAGCACTCTATCTACCTTACCACCTAGCTGCCACCCTTCCTCTCAACCCCTATTTCTGGGCAATCACAAGTAAACAATAAAATCTCTTGGCAGTGATATCAGTCATTCAACAAGCATTTATTAAGACCTACTATGAGCCAGATACTAGGAGATACAAAGACCGAGATGAAATTCTCCCTGCCCTCTAGCAGCTTACATTCAGTTTTGGGGAAACAATGTGCACGCATATTACTATATGCAAAATAAATAGAAGATAATTTTGAAGGAGCACCACTCTTGCAGAAGTAGAGAAAGAACATAGCCCCTATCCCATTCTACTGTTAGATTAGGCTGACTTATTTCCAAGCAGCTAAAAACAGCAAGTCCATTGTATTCAGATTTAAGTAACTTCAAACTTAAGAAAATAGCCCACAAACTTAATAATAATAACTCACACTTACATAGCCCTTTGAGGTTTGCACAGCACTGTACAATACATTATCTCATTTGATCTTCATGGCCTCCCAGTGAAGCTGATGCTGTTATTCCCACTTTACAGAGAAGGACACTGAGGCTCATTGAGATCAAGGGATTTCCCTAGGGTCACAGAGCTAATAAGAGTCAGAGGCAGGATTCAAAAACAGGTCTTCCTCATTCCTAGTCCACTCTGCCACACTGCCCAAATACACATATGCTAGATATAAAGACCCACTTGTACACGTATGTGTGTATAGGCTTACACATAGCTCTTTTTCTTTCCTCTGTTCTTGGGGACCCTGTATCTGGTTTACAGAGGGAAAAAACAGGCTCCTCAGACTCCTTTTTTGACTGTCCCCAATGACTCAGAGGTACTACATCATCCCCCAGACCCACAGCCTGCACGCTAGAATGGTTTGGGGCTGGGGCTGAGTTCCATTCAAGGACTAGACTTTTGTCCTCCTGAGCAGTTGACTTGTCTGATTTTTCAGGCTTCCCTTTTCTCAGACATCTTGCCCACAACCTGAAAAAGGGAAATGTCTGTTTCCTGATGAAAGGGTTACGTCCTAGCTTCTAGACCACAGCTCAGAAAGAGAGAGAGAGGCGCTTTTCTCTCTAGGAGGGGATGGCGGAGGTGGGTGTGTGGTGGTGGCTACGTTTTCTTTTTAAAAAATTTCAGTCAACAAAAATCTGCTTTCTCTCCTTCCCTCTCACTCACCCCCATTGAGAAAGAAGGAGAAACAAAATCCCCATTTCAAAAATGTATTGTTAAGCAAAACAAATTTGCATGTTGCCCATATATATTTGCACTGAGTTTATCACCTCTCTATCAGGAGGTGAGTGATTCATCGTGAGCCCTCTGGAGTCATGCTTGGTCATTATGTTAATGAGAGTTGCTAAGTCTTTCAAATTCATTTGTCTTGTAGTACAAATTGTTCTCCTGGCTCTGCTCATCTCACTCTGCATCAGTTCATACAACTCTTCCTAGGTTTCTCTAAAACCATCCCTGTCATCGTTTCTTATAGCTAGGATAGAGCATCAGGCCTGGAGTCAGGAAGACCTGAGTTCAAATCCAGCCTCAGACACTTACTACCTGTGTGACCCTGGGCAAATTACTTAATCCTGTTTGCTTCAGGATTCCTCATCTGTAAAATGAGCTGGAGAAGGAAATGGCAAGCCACTTCAGTATCTTTGCCAAGAAAACCCCAAATGGGGTTACAAAGAGTCAGACACGACCGAAATGACTGAATAACAACAACAATAGCATTCCATAACATTCATATACCACAACTTGTTCAATCATCTCCCAGTTGATGGAGATATCTCTCCAGTTTCCAGTTCTTTGCCAATATAAAAATAGTTGCTATAAATTCTTTTGCCCAACTGAATTCTTTTCCTCTCTCTTTGATCTCTTTGGAGTTTAGATCTAGTAGGAGTATCACTGGGTCAAAGGATATGTACAATTTAATAACTTTTTGGGCACATTTTCAAATTAGTTTCCAGAAATACTGGCCCAGTTTCTAGCTCTCCCAATAATGCATTGATATAGCCATTTTCCCATAGTCCCTCCAGCATTTGTCATTTTCCTTTTTGGTCAAAAAGCCTACATTTTCAGAGCCTGAGGAGACCTATCAGGGAGGGGACATGACTGAGGGAGCTATAGGGTCTTCAACCTGTGGGAAAAACAGGAATAGAAAAGAATTGTGGGGATGGCTCTTATCAACTTAGTGGGGTTTCTCTACAAATCCCTTTTTTAATGTTCCCTCCCCCACATGAACGGACTTTTGCTATATCAGGAGAGTAAGAGAGCAAGGCCATGTGAGGGAACTAGGGAATGAGGGAACTAGGAGGAAGGGCTGATTTCTTCCCAATTTACTTTCCACCATCATGAGTCCAAGGAAAGTTCTTGATAGTAGGGACTGCTCCATCCTTAGCCTAGTGCCTGGCACATAGTAGGCACTTAACAAATGCTTGTTGATTGATTAATTGGAAGAAGGGGTTCTGGAGTGAGTACAGTGGAAAAACTAATGGAGTTGCAGTCAGAGACCTGAGTTCAAATTCCATCTCTTCCCCTTATAACCTATTGATTTGGGGCAAGTCACTTTGCCTCTCAGTGCCTCATTTTCCTCATCTGTAAAAATGAGGAGCTAGATTCTGTCCTATAAGATCCCTTCCAGCTCTAAATCTATGATCCCATGGTTCTTCCAGAAGTCAGGGAGAGATAATCTATACTGTTTGATCTTTCCTAGGAGGTATTTGGAGGGGGAAAAGAAGCATCAACATGCCAGTCCCCTGAATGCTCTTCCCATTGACATCCTAGGGAAGTCCCTAGCCTGTTTGGGGGACTGGCATTCTGCATGGGCTCAGTCCACGTCTGGTTTGTGACTTCTGGCCTTGGGAGGTGCTCGTCACCCCATCCTCTGTGATAAAGAGGTTCATTGTCTCTGCGTCTCCCTTCCTCTTTCTGTTTATCTGTCTCTGTCTCTCTCTGATGATATAATCTGTCTCTGTCTCGTAGCAGAGAGAAGCCTTTAAGAAACGGTGGTTCGCTCTTGACCCTCAGGAGAGGAGGCTGCTGTATTACAAGAACCCATTGGTAAGGGACAATTGTGTTGACTCAAAGGGAGCTCCAGCCCCCAAAGGGAAGTGTGGAATCTAGTGTGGACAATGACTGTAATTTACATAGGGAATGCCAGTTTACTAAAGGATGTGGAAATACATGTTAGAGAGTTATCTCGTTCAGCCTTCTGTTTCTGGGTAGACGTGCTCCCGAATTATCTAAGACCAATGGACAGCTCCATCCTTGGTTGTTCATTCTAGGGTCAGATATGTCTTTCCTTCTCTGTATCTAACCTAAATCCTTCCTGCTACAGCTCAATGAGCCTGCTTCTTTTTTGTTGTTGTTACCATCATAACCTCTGGAATTAGTTGTTCTCTGGTTCAAGGATTCTCAGCTTTTTTCTGTCTCCAGACCCTTGGCTTTCAGCAAACCTTCTTGTTCCCCCATTCAATATGAAAAGAAATAAATTCTATATTTTCCCATGTATATGCAGATAAAAATATTAATTTTTTCTAAAAAAACTTTATTCGGTACATAACATTTTATGGTATCATCGAGTTGTTCTCCCTCTAATCTACAATTCCCCCCCCCCCCCCCGCCGGCCACTAATACTCCTAATTTTAGGATGGTCCCTATACTCCCTTGACAAGCTTCTGGTACTCCCTGGAAGTCCTGTACTCTAGGTTAGGAATGCTTATCCTGGATGCAAATCATTCATTTTCCAAATCTTCACCTTACCCGGAAACAGAGAAATCAGCAATTTTTATACTCTGTGGCAAATCCAAATTCAGCCGAGGTGGATAAGGAGGATAAGGAAGAGGGACCTTGGACCTTGGGACATAAGACACTATGGTGGGAGAGACTCTTGACACACTTCTGTGAGAGGGAGACACATAGTCTAGGACACTGTGAGGTTATTACTGGGGAGTCCAGCAGGGAGGGATATGGTCTCTAGGACTAATTATTTATGTTAATGAGATGCTAAGATTGGTAGTTCCTATCTGATAAAGGTGCTCGAGGTCTATGCTTTCTAAATTTTGGTACCCTGGGAAGAAAACAAAAACAAAAAGTCTCACTTGTCCCACCCTAGTTATGGCTTCAAGTCGGGCTGCTGCTTGATCATGTTCTGGGGCGCCCAGCAAAAAATATCTGGAAGACCCTTAAATCCATTGGGAAAAGAGGAAGAAGATGAGCTCTAAGGGAGAGTCCTCCCGTAGGGCCACAGCAACGCAGGGCGACGGTTGCCTCCGTGTCATTCACTTCCCCACCTGCTTTTCTCCTTCCAGGACGCATTTGAGCAGGGTCAGGTTTTTATTGGGAGCAAGGAGCATGGGTATGAGATCCATAATGAACTCCCGAAGGGCATCCGGGGGAACCGATGGAAGGCTGGCATCACCATCATCACCCCAGAGCGAAGATTTGTCTTCGCCTGTCCCAACGACAAGGAACAAAAGGAATGGCTGGAGAGTTTACAACACGTCCTGGCCCTCCCCATGACTGCCCTCAGTCCTCATGGTAAGACCCACAAAATCATAGACGTCCACATAGAGCTAGAGGGGGCCTCAGAAGCCATTCGGTCCAATCTCCATTTTACAAGTGGAGGAAACTGCGGACCAGGGAAGTGAAATTATTTGTTCAAAGTCACACAGGCAACAAAATGTCACGTTTGGATTTTTTTCTTAGAATTTCCTTCCAGCCACCTGGGGACTTTCCCAGGATGCCAGGACACTAAACGAGGTCAGGGTCTCTGCCATCACTGCTGTTTCTCTTGTTCTGTCCCTGAAAAGTACAGGTCCCACCCCTCCAGAGGAGTCAATGCTGCTCATTCTGGAGGAATGTCACCACCACTGACTCAAAGGTGGTTGTTGGTCCCCGCCTTTCCCAATCCACCAGATCTCTGGTAGAAGGAAAACTCAACCCTTTTCTCATGAGAAAAATGTGGACCTTGTTGCTGGATTATTTATTATTAGTTGGGGCCCTACACCCGCTGGGCCACCCCTGGGACTTTTCAGAGTACACAGGAAGGGAAGTCTATTTTTAGCCTCAGTTCTTTTCTGTTCCTGTCAGCAACCCCCCCCCCCCCCTGGCCCCCTCCCCCCCCATTCCCCCCCCCCCCCCGCCCCCAACTTGAACCACTTTTCCTCTTTCTCTACCTGACCACTGGAGTCTGACTCCCAACAAAAACTTTCTCTCCATCTCTCTCTCTCTCTCTCTCTCTCTCTGTCTCTCTGTCTCTCTGTCTCTCTCTCTCTGTCTCTCTCTCTGTCTCTCTCTCTGTCTCTCTCTCTCTTTCTCTCTCTCTCTCCACCTGGCCATCTGACAGGTCAAATTCCAGCCCAAACAACAGAAGTGGGTGTAGGATAGGGGTAGACACGTATGTGGAAAAAGTAATTCAATAACTTTCACGAGAAAACATAAATCTGTTTCTTTTACAGATGTAGATACTAATTCATCACCTGCATACATTCTCTTATGGTCTCTAAGCCTCAGTTTCCTCCTCTCTAACATGGTTGGGGAAGGGGGTGTAGTGTTGGGATTGGATTATCTCACAGGTGCCTTGTAGTTCTGAATTTTATGAGAAAAACACATCCTAGAGAATCCCAGAACAGGAAGAGATCTGGAGACGGGATCTGTGGCTCCCCAGCCTTGGGCAGGACCCTGTGAAATCCCAGAAGGATAAGAATTGCTTCTGTGTTTAAAAACACTAAAGGAAAGGGAAAATGAGCTCCCTGGCCCCCCCATCCCCCAGCCCTGCCTCCAGTGTCTTGCAATCTTTGTGGTCAGGAAGCCCTTTTTTAGGTCTAATTTAAGTCCCTCCAGTAGCTGCAGCACTTCCAAAAGCCCCAAAGTTCCTCTTTTGATCCCTTTACAGCCTGACCAGAAGCCTAGGGGCCCCTGGACCTACAGGACCCTCCTTCTGCAGGGGCCCTAAGAAGAAGTTAGGTCTGGAAAACAGCCGGCTTTGAAAGTGACCCCACACTGCCCCCTGGAGGCGCTCGATCAAGTTCACCACTAGTAGTGATCTTTGCCTGAAAGAGTACAAACTAGTTTCAGCCCTCAGAGCAATGTGGCCTTTGACCTCAGTGGGGGGTGGTGAGGGTGGGGCAGGAATTTTCTGGATTAAGGGTAGTAGATAAAACTTCTTTTTCTTTTTTTTTTCTTTCTCTCTTTTCTATTTGCTGCCCTTTCTTCCTTTCTATTTTTTCTGTTTCTTGTTCTTTTTCCCATCCTTTGCCTTGTTTTCCTCCTTCCTTTCTTCCTTCCTTCTTTTCTCTGTTTTTCCCTGTCCTCACTCATTCTTTCCTTCCTTTTCTTTCTTTCTCTCTTTTTTGTCTCTTTTTTTCTCTGTTTATCCCTGTCTCCCTATCTTCTTCCTTTTTGTTTCTCCCTCTCTCTCTTCTTTCCCTCTCTTTCTCTTACCATCTCTGTTCCTTGCTTTCTTTTTCTCTGTCTTCCTCACCCTCTCTTTTTCTCTCTTCTC